GGCAGATTGATTGGAAACGGGCAGTCGAAGTGCGGGAGTCGCTGGTCACCCCCAGTCGACTGAGGGATGTACTGCTACGGATTCACAGCCTCAACTTGCAAGTGGGGGAGAGACTTACCTTCCTCAGCAGCAAACCGGTGTGCCCCTATTGTGGCAATTTTGAAATGCTGGAGCACTGTTTATTCGAGTGTCTGAATACTCAAGTGGTGGTTAAGGCGTTGAAAAAAGCATTGCGATTGATCAACCCCTCTAGGAAGGCAGCATTGTTGGGGGACTAGCTGTTTGAGGAGGCAGCATCCACGTCAGCATTTCCAAAAGCGTCTCTGGTTGCCATTGCGCTTCACCAGCTCTGGGCGGAAAGGTATGAGGGAGCTTTCTGTGGCTGTAAATTCCGCGCGAAGAGAGTCCTACAGAGGATTGAGGTGGCCCTACGCATGCACGTAAATGCCTACGTGCGGGCCTCAGCAATGAAGATGCAACGACGAGGAAGGAAACATCAGGCCAGGTGGCACAAAATGACAGAGCAGGAGCAATACCTTCTGAACCGCATTCGGGTTGTGGAGGGCAAGAGTTGGCGGTGGTTGAGCAAATTTGCGGGCATTTGGGGCACACCACGCATGCCCCGGATCCTCACATAAGGATCGATCCTTCTGAAGTAGGCCACCCTGCTTCTCACGCACAGTTACGATTGTTTATGCGTTGTACACTTTCTGTATTAGTGTATTGCCCATATAAGCAAAAAATAAAGTACCTCCAGTACGAGCACCTCCGGGACTAGCAGCTCCAGCGCCTTCGGTACCTCCAGCTCCAGGGTCTCCAGTGGCAAGCCTCCCAGCTCCAGCAGCGCCACTTTGAAGGCTCCAGTGCCAAGCAAACCACTCGCGCAGCTGCGGTGGAGAGAGAGGCTCCCGCCGTGACGAGGCACCATGGGGAGTACCAGCAGACAAAGTACCTCCAGGCTCAGCACACTCAGGCTCAGCACCCCCAGGCTCCGCATATTCAGGCTCAGCACCTCCAAGCTCTGCAACTGCACGCTCAGCACCCCCAAACGCAGCACCCCTAGCAGCACAAGAGTCACCAGTGACCTCGACAGGCTCGACCAAGGGGAATGGGTCTACCTGAGACACACCTGTAGGAGCAGGACCCTGAGGGGGGAGGGGGTCTACCGGAGGAGGACTTGGTGCGAGGAAGAGCGGCGGGGGGGGGGGGAGAGGGGCAGTGCGGTAAGGGAAGAGACAGTAAAAGGGGACCGACTCGTCAAACATGATGTTCTGAGAGGCCAGGACACGGCGCGAGGTGGGGTGGTAAAACTGCCACCCAGGCGCGTCAGGGGGGAAGCCAAGGAAGACACAGGGAATGGCGTGGGAGGAGAGCTTGTCCGCGTAAGTATCGCGGACAAAAGCACGAGATCCCCAGACCCGGAATACTGACGCATTGCCAACCTCTCCCGTCCAACGCAGTGTTGGCGAGGTCTCTAGCAAGGAGACACGGGGCCAGAGGTTGAGCTGATGCGTAGCGTACCAGACCGCAAACGACCACAAAAAATAGGGGTCGGCCGCATGGATCATGGAGGTACGAGCGACCTCCATGACTAAGCCAATGCGACGCTCAGCAACCCCATTCTTCTGCGAAGAGGCCGGAAGCGTGAACGTCTGGGGAATGCCCTCCCCACGACAAAATTCCCACAAGAAGTCGAAGGCAAACTCACCACCTCTATCAGAGTGCAGACGCAGGACAGGAAGGTCCATCTCGAACCGCTCGCGGAGCGGGAGACGGACAGCGCCAATCCAAGGGATCAAAACATCAGGGACCTCCCCTTTGCTGCGCAATGGGAAGACCGTGGTGTAACGCGAGTGGTCGTCAACAACCAGCAAAAAGAACCGCTCGCGGCCCTGTCCACGGACGCGGGCTGGGCCCCACTCGTCCATGTGAAGAGTCTGCAGGGGAGCCTCTGTCGGAGGAAACGAGGAGTGAGGAGCGACGCACTGCCGCCCCTCAACGCAAGGAAGGCAGAGCGAAGCAGGTGAGCGCGGGAGGGCAGGGAGAGACCTGGGAAGACTAGAGACAAGGAGACAGGAGTGCATGCCACGGAGACGTGGCAGGGAGGGGTGACCAAGACGGTGGTGCCAAAAGAGAGTCTGGTACGATAGGTGGCGACACGAGCAGGGGGCTGAAAGCTGACCTGACGCGGACGCAGACGCATCTACCTGAGAAGGCTCAGTAGTCAGTGTGTACAGACTTGACCCAGGCCGACGGGTGAACGTGGCCAGGTGACGGCCACTCCGGGAGCACGTACAAATCGCCACACGCTGTCCTCTAGGGGTAAAGGTATCAACCCATTCATCCTGAAGGACAGCGTTGCTCACCAAGTTCGTAGAGAACAAGGGGAGGTGCAGACCTGACAGTGAGCCAGTCGGAACCGCTGGACACGGGAGAACAGTGGAGGAACGAACTCTGTCAGAGAGACTGCAACCGGTGCTGCGAGTGGTGTGACTGTGGTGCTGTCATGAAAGAAGCAGTGGGAAGCACTTGAGTCAAGCGTGAAGGTGTGCAAGGCCTCAGCAGGCGCAGTACCTGAGAGAGAAAACTCACTAGCACCTAAAGCAGCAGCCTCTATACCGGGGTTGGGCGGCACACACATGTAATAGTCACCCTCAGCACTAACATCCAATGCATACATAGCAGCATGGATAGCATCATAATCAAGAGCAAAGATATCCACACCCTGCCTAAGCAGCTCTGCCAGCTGGGGAGCTCACCCGCCTCGGGAAACTCTGAGCGAAAGGCGTCGTCAAGACGGGAGAAGCAGCGGTACTGGGTGTGAAGCTTCCCCCATGTCTGACCAATGTGGACTCCTGTGCGAATGACATACGGGCAGCGACCACTACCCCTAGATGCCCCATGCTGAGCAAAACACTCACGAAGCTGCTGGGGCGAAGAGGTCTCGCTCGGACGCTACTGCTGCCTCTGGCCATCGCCAGAACCTCCCCTCTGACGAGCTCCACCCCGACCACCACCAGTGCTATTGCCACCACTCCCACTGCCGCCACCACTGCCGCCGCCACCATCCCCACTGCCGCCACCACCGCCGCCACCACCGCCACCTCCACCGCCTCCACCGCCCCCACCACCGCCTCCACCGCTGCCACCCCCACCACCCTGGCCTCCCTTGCCCCTGCCGCTACGGTGCCTCCCACTGGGAGCAGACCTCCTCAGCATAAAGGAAGTCAACAGCAGTAGCAGAAGCGACAGATGGAACAAGGGGGGAAGGGGAACACCCCTCAAAGAAGGGAGTACAAGGAGTGCCACGAGAAGCGCCTACAGCGACTATGCTAGTCTCAGCTGCAAGGAGGTGCTTCTCGAGTATGTCGACAGTGAGGGCTGTGGGGTCAAGGGCGAGAAGGAGGTCCCTGACTGTGCTAAGAGAGTTAGGGAGGCGGGTGACAATGTAGTAGAGCGTGATGTACATGGGAGGAGGGTTATTGGCTAGAAAATCGGCGGGAAGCGCGGCTCGGTAGCGGATGTCACTAGTGCAAAGGTGAGTGACGAGGTCGGCCACTGTAGCAAAGGCGGATAGCTCTGGGAACAGGCACGGCAGTATAATACGGACTAGTGCAGCGGTGGCCGGGGAGGAGTAACGAGTGACTACAGCGGCATACAGGGCTCTAGCAGTCTTGTGCTGGCCAAAGTGAGCACGCTCGGCTTACGGCAGGTGGTTGCGAACGGCTAGGCAAGCAGTAGCGTCACGGTTAAGCCACTGTGAGCGTGTCGCACTGTCAGCTCTGTCGGGAGGGGCAAGAGAGGCGCCAGATGGGAGGTCAAACAGCAAGACGCCGTCCCTAGAATCGCTCAGTAAGTAAAGCTGCAGGTCATCTACCCACGCGTCAAACTGTATCGGACGGCCCTCTGCATCAAACAAAAGTACACTGAGAGTGAGCATAGCGGGCAGAGCAGTAGGGCGCGCTAGTAGCAGGGCAGCACGCAGGTAGGGCAAAGCAAAGCAGCACCCATGTAGGGCAAAGCAGGGCGGTGGCCAGCAGGGCGGCTTGCAGGCAGAGCAGGGCAGGGTGGCGCGGGTATTTGCGGTGCTCAGGCAGGGCAGGGCGGCGCAGCCAGCAGGGCAGCGTGCGGGCAGGGCAGGGCAGAGCGGATGCCAGCAGGGCGGTGGCAGGCAGGGGCACGTGACGAGCAGTGCAACAGTGCGGGGTAAGGTAGGGCAGCCGCGCATGTAGAGCAGCAGCGAGGAGCAGGGTAGGTGCACGGGGCAGAGCTTACACGTGCAAGCAGGGCAGGGCAGTCGCGCTTGCTGGCACTACACTGTGCAGGTTAATGACAGTAGTGCAGTAGCAGTAGTGCAGTCGCAGTAGTAGGGCAGCAGGGAGAGCGGGCCGGCAAGGTGCAAGGCCAGTGCAAGTGCACGGGCGGTAGGGCAGGTGCACACGGGCCTGGTGCGGGCTGTACGGACTGCGCGCGAGCCTGGCGCGGGCTGTATGGGCTGCGTCCAGGCCTCGCGCGGGCCGTACGCGCTGCGTGCGGGCCGTGCGCGGGCTGTACGGGCTGCACGCAGGCGACGCGCGGGCTGTATGGGCTACACGTGGGCGGTTCGGGGCTAAACGGGCCTGGTGCGGGCTGTACAGACTGCGCGCGTGGCAGGGCAGGGCAGCGGGAAGGCACGGGGAAGGGCAGGGCAGGGCAGAATTTTGGGCAGGAAAAACATTCTAAGCGGTGGGCCCTCTAAAAAAATGGTCCTTAGGAAGGACCTGCTCTATACCATGTCGAGACTAGGTAAGGAGAATAGTTGGTCATTGAGTCACCGGGGAGGGGTACAAGAACAACATCGAGAGAAATTGTGTACCCCCTAGTGCTAACACCCATATAGCTCAAAGCACATAAGCATATATGTTTTGATACTAAATTGGTGAACTGAGCAATATGATCGAGTCATCAATTGAGACAAAGAACACCTATTTTACCACAAAGAAGTCACACATTTCACAGGAATGGTTACCCGGGCGGCACAAAGAAACGTACCGAACACCTGCTCCCTCTTCAAAGTTGGCTTTGCTTTCGCGAGGGCCGATCTCGCGGTGGCCACCACAGGCTGCCTGTTCGAGTCCTGATATGTCAATTTCAATGCATGCGACCCCACGCGAGGCCCCACGCCAGCTGTAAACCCGACGCTATTGAGGTCACCCTCGGTCAGTGTGGTCTGGCCGAAGTAGTCCCACATACTCGGCGCGACCTGCGAGCGCTGCATGTTGCTCCGCCACCTCTCCCAACCCCTCCTTCTTTGAGGGGTGCTCCCGCTCCCTTTTCGTGCCTTCTATTGCCTCTACTACTGCTGTTGACTTCCTCGGTGCCGAGAAGGTTGGTGCTGCGCCCGCTCCTAGCGGAAGGCGCAGCACTAGGAAGGGTGGGGGCAGTGCGGGTGGCGGAGGTGATGGTAGCGGTAGGGGTGGCAGGGGTGGTGGAGGTGGCGGTGGCGGTGGGGGTGGCGGGGTTGGTGGGGGTAGTGGGGGTGGCGGGGGTGGCGGAGGGGGTTGGGGTGGCATTCGAGGTGGAGCTGGCGGGGTTGGTGGCCCAGGAGCTGCGCCTGGTGGTGCGCCTATGGAGCTGCGCCTGGTGGTGCAGCTGGTGGAGGTGGCTGTGTGGGGGGTAGACAGTAGCAGCCGCAGCAGCCACATAGGTAGGAGACTCCCTCGCTACAGCAGCTGCGGGAGTGGGTTGCCCATTGAAGCTCCCCTGGAGGTGGTGGTCCTGCGACAGGTCCTTGCCCGTACCTGCGTCGCACTGGCCCGCGGGCCGGCGACGTCTATGGCAAGCTGTGGCACGGTGAGGCTCGCTGTTTCTACCGCCTCGAGAATGCTTTCCGCGTGGAGTTTGGTGAGCAGGCCATGATCCCTGACTGGTTAGGTTTGCTCAAGAGGGGCATAGATATCTTTTCGCTTGATTGGGACAAGATTTTTGTAGGTATGTATGCCATTTATGCTACTGGTGCTAGTGCCGAGGGTGACTATTATTCTTGTGTACCTAGATCTGGTAGTGTAGAGACTACTCGTGTAGGTGCTGGTGAGCCTGCTAGCACAGGTGCAGTTCCAACAGAGGCTTCGCTCACGTTCACGCTGGACTCTGGTGCGACTCGGTGCTTTTTCCGCGACAGCACCACCATCACACCGCTCCTCTTCCTGTCACTCTGGCCGACCCCACCTCCGATCGTGTCGTTGCTCGCAACTCGACTATTCTACCGTGTCCGGCATTTTCCTCTGGCTCTCTCACAGGCCTGCACCTCCCCTCGTTCGCTGTGAACTTGATGAATGCAGGCCACCTCTAGGATCTTCTCATGACCACCACGATTCTTGGAGGCGAGCAAGTTGCGATCTGTACGGACACAGCAACTGGAGCTCACCTAGCCACGTTTGCACGAAGGCCTGGGTCTAGACTGTTCAGACTGCACACTCAATCCCCCAAGGTGGCTGCATCAGGTTAGGTAGCCGCGTCTTGCTCCTGTCGGTTGCTCACGCACCAGACCCTCCTCTGGCACCACCGTCTTGGTCACCCCTCCCTTCAGCGTCTCCGTCGCATACACTCGCGTCACCTTGTCTCTGAACTCCTGTAGCCCCTGCCTCTCGCTCCTGTTGATAGTTGCACTGCCATGGACTCCCTGCGTTGAGGGGCAGCAGAGCGCCGCTCTTCGCTCCTCCTTGTTTCATCCGACCACTGCTTCTCTGCAGATGCTGCACATGGACGAGTGGGGCCCGACCCTTGTCGTTGGGTCACACTGAAAGCACTACTTTCCTTTGGTCGTCGACGACTTCACGCGCTACACCACGGTGTTTCCCTTAGAGCATAAGGGTGACGTTCGTTCTATCCTGATCCCCTAGATCCGCACTGCTCGCCCCCAGCTTAGCGCACGTTTCCAGCAGGACCTCCCAGTGCTCCGTCTGCACTCTGACCGTGGTGGCGAGTTTGCCTTTGGTCCCCTTGAGAACTTTTGTCGCGAGGAAGACATCACCCACTCATTCACGCTTCCAGACTCTCCATAGCAGAATGAGATCACTGAGTGCCACATTGGCTTGATCATGGAGGTTGCTCACCTCCATGATCCATGCGGCTGCTCCCTAATTCCTTTAGCCATTTGTGGTCCGATACGCCGCGCTTCAGCTCAACCTCTGGCTCCATGTCTCACAGCCAGAGACCTCACCTACCCTCCTCTTGACGGGGGAGGTCCACGATGCGTCTCCATTTCGGGGCGTTCGCTTGCCCTTGTCCGCGATCCTACTGCGGGCAAGCACTCTCCGCACTGTATTCGCTGCGTCATCCATGTCATTCCCACCGACGCCCTTGACTGGCAATTTTACCACCCAGCCACTCGCCGCCTCTTGTCCTCCCACAAAGTCACCTTTGACGAGTCGGTTTGCTACTACCGTCTTTACCCCCACCGCAATTCCCCCGTGCCCCCCCCCCCCCCTCGTCCCTTTTCCTGGTTCCAGTCCCCCCTAGTTAGACCCACCTCCCTTCCCCCCCTCGTCCTGCTCCTTCCGGTGTATCTTAGGTTACCCCACTCCTCTCGTTTCTGCCTTTGGAGGTCTCCTCATACCCCTCTAGCCCGGTTGAGGGGGGTGACCCGACCGTGCTGCTGACGACACAGCAGCCTCTCGCCACTCATTGCGCTTGGAGACACCTCCTGGTTCTCTGCCTCGATCGTATTTGCCTCCTTTGCAACCTGTCGTTATGGACCCCAGTGCTGTTGGGGGTGGTGTCTCTAGAGGTGCGGGCTCTGGGGGTGCTGGTGCTGGGGGTGGTGACTTTGTAGGTGTGGGCTCTAGGGGTGCTGGTTCAAGGGGTGCTGAGGGTCCTCGTGTTGGCGGAGTCGAGGGTGCCGCTGCTGGAGGTTCTACGGGGTGCGCCGCAGCCACTGCCGCGGTGGCCCTTGTTCTAGGAGCAGCAGCAATCATCGCTGCCAGTATCTGTGTCTGCTACTGGAGGTTTTGGGGGTGCTGTCTCTGGGGGCCCTGCCCCTGGGGGTGCTGGAGGTTCTTGGAGCTGGAGGTATTGGAGGTACTGGAGCTGGAGGTGGTGGACGTACTAGAGCTGGAGGTGCTGGACTTGGAAGCGTTCCTGGTGTTTGTACTGAGGAGCGGGTGAAGTGCTGACCCAGGTAGCGGCAACAACGAAGCGGCTGCTCCCAAAACAACTGCCGCTACTGCAGCAGTAGCGGCAACCACTAGTACTACTCCTCCGCTATTGTCTCCGCCACCTGACCTGTCTCAGGCACAGTTACCACCTGTTCCTCCTCATTACTCTCCATTGACCGACTCCTTGACTGAGCGTAGAGAGCTTGCATCACCTGCTACCTCACCTGTTGCTCGTACTCGTCACCCTCGTACTCGCCCTCCACTTGTTCTTAGTACCCACACCATGACACTTCGTCCTTACTTTGTTTCACGGTCTGTTGTCCTGCGGTTACCTCCCCCACCTTCTCTTCTTGACGTTCGTGACCCAGTGTATGACCTTGCTCGTGCCGCCAGTCTGACCGTCACATGTTCTCTTGCCACGCTTGTGACGAACCCTCCGTTTTTGTCAGCTACTGCGTCTGCCTTGGTCGATGAGCCCACTGACTTTGCTGCTGCTTGCCACCTTGACTACCTCTCAAGTCTGGTTTCTAACCCTACCTGTCCTTCGTCCGTCGGAGGTGAGGTTCCCCTTGGCTGTGACGTCTTTGAGGACAGGCAGTTTGAGCTAGAGTACCTTGCGGCTATTGTACCTCATCTCGCTGCCATGATGCTTTCCCCTGAGAGAGACACAAATGCATTGAACATCACAACCCCGCGCTCTTATGTGAGGCGATCACGGGTCCTTGGTCCTCTCAGTGGATGACAGTTATGGACGCAGAGATGGCATCCGGGAAGCCCACAGGCACCTACTTCGACGTAGTTCCCCCTTCTGAGGCAAACATAGTCGATGGCATGTGGATTTTCATAGTGAAGCGGCCGCTGATTTCCAAGCGTGTTACGTTGCATGAGGCGTCAATCAACGTTAGGGGGTCAACTTTTTCCAGACCTTCTCCCCCACCGCGAAGATGACCACTTATCGAGTGTTACTGCCCGACGAGGTGCACTCACTTGACTTATCGACCGCCTTCTTGCAGGGCAGCCTCCACGAGGAGATTTGGTTGCGCAGCCCACCTAAGCTTTACAAGGTCATTTCCTGAGGGTACCCTGTGGAGTCTCCGGCGGCCAGTCTACGGTCTGCGTCAGGCGCCCCGCGAGTGGCACGACATATCAGAATCCCAACCACTAGACCATTGGGATAAAAGGGCTTGTTAAGTAGCGGGTCAGTGCGCCCATAACCCCCCAGGCGAATGCGCCTGTAACCCTCTCCAGGATCAATCGGGCATCCACAGTGCAGATCTACTGACATGACACACTAAGGACGACGCTTGCGGCTCCTGGCTTCACTCTTTCGACACCTGACCCGTCCCTGTTTCTGCACACTGACCCTACTTTGCCGCCGTTATACATCCTCATGTACTGGTCTTTGCGATTGCTGACAGTGAGGCACAGGCTGTTGTGAAGGCAGAGCTGCAGAAGAGACACAGCTGCACTGACCTGGGTGAACTGCAAACCTATCTTGGCTTGCAGATTACCTGGGATAGAGCAGCGCACACCATCACTCAGACTCGGTCACACATGGTGCAGGAGGTCCTTCAGCGCTTCCAATTTCAGTTCTCCTCGGCACAGCCCACTCCTTTGCAAACAGACCATATGCTCTCAGATTCACCTTTGGACGGGTCCGTAGAGCCTAGTGGCCTGTATTCAGAGCCTAGTGGCCCGTATTCAGAGCTTGTGGGTTACCTCATGTACCTGATGACATGCACTCGGCCTGACCTCGCATACCCTCTCAGCATCCTGGTTCGCTACGTTGCGCCCGGGAGGCACCGACTCGAGCACTGGTCAGCTGCTAAGAGGGTGCTGCGCTACTTGGTCAGTACATTAGGCTTGAGGCTTGTGCTTGGGGGATGGGGTTTAGCTGTGCTCAGAGGGCACTCAGGTGCTACGTGGACTGACAACCAGGTGACTTCTCGTTCGTCACGGGGCAACCTTGGTGCTGTTGCTGTCTCGTGGAGGTCCACTTGCTTGTCTTTTGTACTTAGTTCCAGCTGCGAGGCCGAGATCTACGAGTCACCGAATCTAATGGTAAAGTGCATCATATTCTGGACATACGCTAATTGAGGTGTACTAGTGCTGTAGCAATTGTTATTCAGCCTATAAGGGAGGTAGTTGGGTATATGGAGAAGCAAAGGGTTGGTGACATTGGGGGTAGCAGGGCGCTGCGGATGCAACTTCAGGGACATTGGGAGACAGGAAATCTGGCGAGGGCCAATCCAAGGCCCAGGCGGCTCGGGCTCAACCCATCATGAAGAGAATTGCGCGACTGGGTAGCCTTGTTCTCTCGACTTGTTTACCTATCATAGTGGATTTCTGTTATCGTGCTCAAGCTATCGCAGCTAGGTGACTAAGCCACTCTTGGTAGCCATCCTGTGGGAGCCAGAAACTCTTGCAAGTTGGGAGAAGTGTGCCGATGATGTATCGCCGTGAGCTGCGGGCTCAGAGTACGTACTTGCGGCGAGAGCACTCTCCGTCGCCTATGAGGCACTCAAGGGAGTGCGGAAGGTCGCCGACGCGCTCGCCACGGAGGGCAGCGTATCGCGCGGATCCGGTGACGCCAATGGGCGTACAAAGAGGGGGAAGCGGGGAGGATCTGCGCGCCAGATTGGAGCCTTGGAGGCGACCCGCAACGAGCAATCCATGGAACCTGGCGGAAGGCTGGCACGGAGTGAACGAAGGGCGTCACGATGGCGCCGTGGAGATGGAATCGGCGGGCGAGCTCGAAGATGAAGAAGAAGAAGAAGAAGGGGAAGAGCCCCCACTTGCTCGTAGTCGCGGAAGCCGAGGCGTTGCTGGCGATGAAGGAGTCTCCGCTGAGCGAGGCAGTGGAAAGCGTGGCCACACTAGCGACAAAGATTCCCCCACTACGCAGGGCGGCGGAAGGCGCGGCGACGACGGTGACGAGGGATCCCCCATTGCGCGGGGCGGCAGTAGGCACGGTAACGCTAGCGACAAAGATTCCCCCACTGCGCGGGGCGGCGGAAGGCACGGCAACACTGGCGACGAAGACTCCCCCACTGCGCGGAGCGGCGGAAGGCGCAGCGACGTCGGCGACGAGGGATCCCCCACTATGCGGTGTGGCAGAAGGCACGGCAACGCCGGCGACGAAGATTCCCCCACAGCGTGGGATGGCGGAAGGCGCGGCGACGTTGGCAACGAGGGATCCCCACTATGCGGGGCAACAGTAAGCGCGGCCACGCTGGCAACGAAGGGTCGCCCACTGCGCGGGAAGAAGGGAAGTAGGGGATCAACGAGAGGGATGAGGAAGAGCAGATCCGTCGTGGAAAAGCACGAGAGGAAGGCAAAGAAAACAGGGAAGGAGAGCTCTCACCTGTAGGACCGGGCGGAGGAGCACAGCGAGGGAGCGGCAGAGGAGTGGAGCGCGAATCAAAGGCGCACCAAGGAGGCGGGACAAGTCAGGGGGCACCGGTGGGTGTCTTCCATTCACCTGAACCAAGGCAAGGGTATGACCGCCGACGACGCATGGCGGTGGGCGGAGATCAGCAGCTGGATCAGGAGAAGCGACAAGAAGAGCTGGATGACGTGGGACAGCACCAGAGAGGACGCCACAAGTGGAGGAAAGGCGTGGCGAAGAAGGACACTACAAGGACAGGGGAAGGCGTTCACCGAACGGTTCAACAGAAGGAAAAGGAGGTCGGCAGCGAGGAGAGTGAGAATGGCATCACCAGGAGCGGTCTCCTGCGCAAAGAGAGAGCGGCAATGGGGTGATCGAGAAAGGCACAGGGGAGATCACGAAGAGCGGAGGAGGAGTCCGAGCCCGAGTGGAATAAGGAGGTCACGATAGCGCGGAGAAGGGTCTAGCGGAGCGAGAGCGACACGTGAAGGGCTAGAGCGAGTGCTGTATGGGACTAGCACGGGAAGTAGAGGAGAAAGAGGGAAGCAGCAAGGGGCTGCTCAAATAGACAAGGGAGGCTCTGGAAGCTGGGATATGGGGAGATGGAGCGCGACAGTACAGCCAAGAGTGGAGGTGCCCGTACGCTTCACGGGGAACAAAGGTACAGGCCCAAGCCTTAATAATTACCTTATGCAAATAAGAAACGTCAAGTACAGGTGCGATCGCAGCGGCATGGATCCCATCGACTTCTTCCTAAGCCTGCCAAACATGAAGATGGGTGAGTGGCTGAGAAGGGCAGATGAGGATGACGAAGACCCGACGGTACTGTTCTTGGAGCGGCTAAGGAAGCAGTTCCATGGGCATATTGCAGCGCGCATTCGAGAATTCCAGGAGTTTAGGCGTACGGACGATGAGTCATTGCTAACCTACTACGGACCCTCCTGCCAGTCCCTGTCCAACCCATTCAGAAACTTACTAATGATCATGCTGCTGTCCGTGCATGCCACGTCTTCTGCCAGGTTCATTAATCGTCCTTCAGGGGAGCCTGCACAAGCAGATCTGGTTGGGTCGCCCGCCTGGCT